GTTGCTGTGAGCAGTGAAGCCATGGCACTCTACCTAGGGGGACAGTCTGAGGCTCTGTCTCAAAAAAAAAGGAAACTGAAAGAGATTAATTTTCATATATTTTTACCTCCAAATATTTAAGATATCATTTCAACATGTAATTGGTATTTAAAAGTTGTTGAGATGCTTTTTTTGGCATTAATTCTTTGAAATCCAATGTCAATTTTACCCTTACAACACATTTTGATTTGGACTAGGTCTGTTTCAAAGGCTCAATAGCCACATGTAGCTACTAGCTACCGTATTGGACAACAGAGGTCTAGAATTCTGGGTTATAAGTTTAAAAGACTCCCAACCAATCCAACAGAAGGGACAGATTAGTCAAAACCAGTGCTTTCTGTCTTCTTCCGAGCAACAATTCTAAGAGGTTAGGCTGATTTTGAGCTTGTGAAAGTACAAAATTTATCTAAAGCCATCTTGGTCTTAGTAAGATCTCTTAAATTCTCTGGAGTTATGGGGATGACTGCTTAGAGCGGTTCTCAACCTGTGGGTAGAGACCCACAGGAACTGTATTTAAAGGGTTGCGCAGGAATTAGGGAGGTTGAGAACCACTGGCTTCAACACAGCTCCAACAAAAGTGTTACATAAGATACAGTTACAGTAAGCATGGTAGGTATTCTGTAATATTGATGCCCACCCCTGTGAGAAACTTAACTCTCTCCTAGATGGTTACTTCAGCTCTACCACAGTCATAAAAAATGACCTGCATCTGAATATAGACAGGTATCTGTTTACTTTGGGTCTGTAATGTTCTCTGCTCTCAGTCTTCAGGTGTTTTTTTTAAATGTGTTTGTTTTTCAGGACTTGGAAAAGGAGAGTGACACACACCCCTCTCACAGATGGCTACTGTATAAATCCTAGAAAAACCAAGGGTAGATCAACATTTCAAGCAGAAAAGCTGAAGGTGCTCTCCTCAGACCTCCTAAAAGTCAAGGTCTCTCTCCATTCCTCAGACAGATAACTCTGAAAGCTAAGTCTTTTGCTCAGGTTATAGTGCTCTCTTAGGGCATTAGAGGCCGTCACTGAAACTAGAGTGACATCCTGATCACCTCACACACTAGTGACAGAGATTGTAGAGGTTTGAAAAGTCTTTTGTTTTTTTGAGACAAAGTCTCACTATGTCACCCTGAGTACAGTGAAGTGGTGTTACAGCTCAAGCAACCTCAGATTCCTGGGCTCAAGTGATCCTCCTGCCTCAGCCTCTCGAGTAGCTGGGACTACAGGCAGCCACCACCTTACCTGGCTAGTTTTTCTATTTTTAGTAGAGACAGGGGTCTCACTCTTGTTCAGGCTGGTCTCAAACTCCTGAGCTCAGGCAACCCACCTACCTCAGCCACTCAGAGTGCTAGGACTACAGGCATGAGCTACTGTGCTCAGCCAGAAAAGTTCTTTTTATTTATGATTTTCTTCACATATGCAACATGAAACAATCATGTGCCTTTTTCCCCAAAACAACAAAATCTCTGTGGTCTGTATTGCTTACGACACACTAAGCACTATGCCAAGTACTTTACATCAGCACTTTTCAAACACAAACATGTGCAGAGGAATCACCTGGAATCTTGTTGAGACACAGTCTGTTTCCATAAGGTCAGGGGTGAGGCCTGAAATTCTGCATTTCCTTTTTTTTTTTTTTTTTTGAGACAGTCTTATTATGTCACCCTTGGTAGAGTGCTGTAGCACCACAGCTCACAGCAACCTCCAACTCTTGGGCTCAAGCGATTCTTTTGCCTCAGCCTCCCAAGTAGCTGGGACTACCGGCGCCTGCCATACGCCCTGCTATTTTTTGTTGCAGAGTTGTCGTTGTTGCTTAGCTGGCTCTGGGCCAGTTTGGAACCTGCCAGCCTCAGTGTATGTGGCTGGCGCAGTAACCACTGTGCTACAGGAGCCAAGAATGAAATTCTGCATTTCTAACAAGTTCCCAGAGGATCCAACCATTGCTGATCCTTGAACTTCAAGTAGCAAACATTAACCTGGATACACTACTGTTACACATATTATCACTTTTTGAACATGAGAAACTAAGGTACAAATAGTAATCTGCCCAAGATCACAACAGCCAGAACATGGCAGAGCCCAGCCCCTAACTCGAAAGACTACGTATGCTGTATAACCTCCTGCGGGTTACAAGTTTAAATGCACCAAAGTTTAAGTCCCATTTCAATTTACTGTTAAATCTAAAATATGCAATACTATAGTTTTCTACTTACAATGGTATTCATAACAGGAATGTTTTATTATTCATAATTGGAATTTTTATGAAACCTGTGAGAATCTATATGATTTTATTCCACATATACTGTTATCCCCTCCCTCCATATTTAATACCAAGAGGTTGCTTGAAGTGTGCGGTCAGAAAACTAATTTTTGGCTACCCTTCCTAAATAATGGGGAAAAATGCACCGTGCACCCAGGGTGTATGTGGTGTGAAGAAAGGGGTGCAGGGTGAAAATCAGAATTCTAGTAATCAGAAACTGATTATCTAAATCCTTGCTCCTTGTGTGTGCTACTTGGAAGTGTGGTCTCTGGACCAGGAGGATCAGTAACACCTGGGAACTGTTTGGAAATGCAAGATCTTAGGCCTTGTCCCAGATCTGCTGAATCAGAATCTGCATTTTTAACTGGAACACCAGATGCACTTTAAAATTTAAGACCACTGCTCTAAATCCTTTGATTTAGATTCACTCCAATATCAGTCTTTACAGGGTCGCGGCCTTTTGAAAAAATGAGAGAAAACAATGTCTTTCCTAGGCAGACGTTATATTTTCCTCTCTGGTGCACTGCTGCCGCGGGGGAAGGGCCGGGTCCCTCCCAAGCCTACCAGCGGCGCCTCCCGGGCGGGACCTGAAGGCTGGAGGGCCTGCACCGTCCCGCACTGCGACAACGGCAGCCGCGCAGACCGCCACACCCCTCCCGCGGCCAGCCGCGCTTTATTTACTCCACGGGGCCAACACACCACGCGGAAGGCCGCACGTGGGCACCGGCCAGGCGGCTGTTAGCCCAGAAGGCGCGAGGCAAAGAGAAAAGAAGGCCTGGCGCTACGCAGGGCCTTGCGCTCCGACCCTGGACACCGCGGGCTTGAGCCTTAGGCCCGAGGCCCTCACCTTCAGCACCAAGTCGGTCAGGTACACTGCAGTCCAGCCACCCACCACCACCACCACCAGCGACACTGGAATCATGGCGGCAGCAGCAGGAGAGGAGGGAAGGCGAGCCCCGGTGTCCTCCTCCCTGAGCCACAAGCAGTCCACAAAGCCGCTCCTTACAGCCCCAGCATGCGCGCAGGAACCAAGCTACAGCCGGCTCCTTTCCCGCGGTGGCAACATTTCTCTCCGGACTTTTCCGGTGGGGACACACGGGCAGGCTTGAGAGTACCGGAAAATAGCGCGGGGGCATCTTTTTTAGGACACTCTGGCGCCGCCGTCCGGGCAGCGGCTAGTCTACGGCTTCTAGCTTTCTAGCTATTGCTTAGGATTTGGTCCTCCCTGCTGTCTGCTCTTCATTCTCCTAAGTTCTGGTGTAGATTTTGCTTTCCCTTTTAATCTAGAGAGGATTCGGGGGGGTCATCTGAAATAATGATCGTCTACCTCCCGGCCCCCGTCAAAACTATCCAGATTTACATTAATTGTGGTTTATTCGGTTTTTTTTTTTTTATCTTAGTGTAATTTACATATGGAGAAATAATACATAGATCTCAGCTGTCCATTTCAGTGAGTTTTGATAAATGTTTATATCCATGTACCCTAATCAAAAAAGAACATTTCCCTCTCAGGAATTCCCTTCCTGTGTCTCTTCCCAGTCAACCCTCCCTTCCCCCTACGTTCTGATTTTTATTTTAAGCCTTATTTAAATAGAATGATGCAATAAGTTCTCATTGTGTCTGGGTTATTTCAACCAACATGTTTTTGTCATTAAATTATGGTGATTAAATTAGGGTTTTTTTTTTGGCAACTTCTTCCACTATTAGTTTGAGATAGGTGCTACACTTAAAAATTGGAGCTCTGAACATCTACACGTTTTAATGTTGATGTATACCTCATGATAAATTGAACTAGAGCAGTGGTTTTCACCCTTCACTGCACATTAGGATCACCCAGCGGCTTTCAAAATTCACCATGCCCATTCTGTAGCTTCAATCAATTAAATCAAAAGCTCATCGGGACCCAAGCATTTATAGTTTTTAAGCTCCTCAGATCAATCACTGTGCAGGCAAGGTTGAGAACCACTGAGCTAGATAATCTCTAACAGGAAGGAAAACTAATGTTTATTAAGTGTTTTTCTGCATTCTATTAATGTTCATCTTTAGAAGTTATTTAACTTTCCTAGAAAACCATCATTAGCAGTACTATGGAGAACATAATGCTATCTTAAGAACAAGTGTCAAAAATAAAAATGCACCCTTAACACTTTTCCATATGAAAATACCAGAAACCTATATTACAGATATTACTACTAATTTGCCTCTTTCATACTTTTCCTAAAGTTTTAAACATTTAGCAATGTCTCTTCAGCTTCAAGAAATTTTTTTTTTTTTTTGCAGTTTGGCCAGGGCCTGGTTTGAACCCGCCACCCTGAGTATATGGGACCAGTGCCCTACCCACTGAGCCACAGGTGCCACCCCAGCTTCAAAAAATGTTATAATTCAGTTTTTCATTTTTTTGTGTGTATGTATTGTTATAAATGGCTTCAATTTTCTTTGGACATACCTGAGTATAAACTACGTAAGTCAAGTTTATATTCAAGCACCCCGTGACTCCATAGTTTTCCATATATAAGTGTCTCAAAAGTCCTAGTGCTGTTTTAAGCTTTGATAATTTATTTAATTATTTATTTATTTATTTTGCAGTTTTTGGCCGGGGCTGAGTTTGAGCCCACCACCTCCGGCTGGGGCTCTACTCCTTTGAGCCACATGTGCCACCTGATAATTTATTTTTATTTATTTATTTATTTATGTTTGAGACAGAGCCTCAAGCTGTTGCCCTGGGTAGAGTGTTGTAGCATCACAGCTCACAGCAACCTCCAACTCCTGGGCTCAAGCGAGTCTCCTGCCTCCGCCTCCCAAGTAGCTGGGACCACAGG